TCCTATAAATACAGAAACCTCGGAAAATTAACCTAGATCGGGAGTTCCGCCGCCAGAAGCCTCCGTAGCCACCGAAAACCAATCTAGGCCCTCTCTGGTACCCTGCCGGAGGGGCCATCATCACCATGAAAGCCAAGGACCAGAGGAAGAACCTCCCCCCATCTAGGGGGAGGCCATGGAGGAGGAAGCACAAGGGGGAGAACCTCTCATCCTCTCTCTCTCAGTGGCACCAGAGTGCCATTGGGAGGGGAATCATCGTCGCGGTGATCGTCTTCATCAACATCACCATCATCATCTCTTTTACGTGGTCCACTCTCCCGCACCCCGCTGTAATCCCTACTTGAACATGGTACTTTATGCCACATATTATGATCCAATGATGTGTTGCCATCCTATGATGTTTTGAGTAGATATTATTTGTCTTTGGGTTGATTGATGATCTAGATTGGTATGATTTGTATGTTTTACTTTGGTGTTGTCCTATGGTGCCCTCCGTGTCGCGCAAGCGTGAGGGATTCCCGCTGTAGGGTGTTGCAATACGTTCATGATTCGCTTATAGTGGGTTGGTGAGTGACTGAAACACAAACCCGAGTAAGGGGGTTGTTGCGTATGGGAATAAAGAGGACTTGATGCTTTAATGCTATGGTTGGGTTTTACCTTAATGATCTTTAGTAGTTGCGGATGCTTGCTAGAGTTCCAATCATAAGTGCATATGATCCAAGTAGAGAAAGTATGTTAGCTTATGCCTCTCCCTCATATGAAACTGCAATAGTGATTACCGGTCTTGTTAATGATTGCCTAGGACAATTCCGCACACCGATCCACCATTATTCCACACTCGCTATTTATAATATTTAGTAATATATTCTAACTTTATGATAACAGCACCTACTTTTATATTTTAGCTCCCCGATATCATAAAAAGTTATCCTCTTCATACCCACATCATAGTTTTATTTCTCGTTGCTAGTTGGAAGCAAACGTTCGGTGTACGTAGAGTCGTATCAGTGGCATATAGGGCTTGAGAGAATATTGATCTTACCTTTAGCTCCTTGTGGGTTCGACACTCCATACTTATCACTTCCACCTTTGGAAATTGCTATGATGATTCCCTGCACTTGGGGATTATCACGTAACAATTGGTTTGCAGATTACCAAACGATCCAAAGATTGACCAGCCACAAGTGCCAAGCCCTCGGGGCATGCTATGTGCTTGAGAGTAGTTGGATTATTAACACGAGGTAGAACAATAGTTGAAGACCCGAGGTACCGACCTTGTTCATTTCTGCAAATTGCAGCAGTAACTCGAACAGTCCTGTCATGAGACAGACCACTGTGTACATGGATTTTAACGTGGATAATCTAAGGCGGTTTTCAAGCTCTTTGAACATTGAAAACTTGGGTGTGTCTCGCCGGATTGGCCGCACTGGACTGCGTATTCAATCCATCCAACTTAACAATGAATTTTTAAATGAATAGGTGAGTTAACATTGGGCTTTGACAAATTGACTCATGAATAGATTTTCTACTTGTAGTCCAAAGTGCCCAAAGTGTGACGGACATTTCCACGAAGTCCACATGCGATAATGAAACCATCATGTTAAAAGCTAGTTTTTTGCATTGGGTTCGTGAGTCTCGATAATAAGGTTAGTTAACTCTTCATCACCTAGAGCCCAAACAAACCTTGAAGCTGTACAGTCAATCAGTGAGTGCCTCCAGGAATCAACAGCTCCACACAGATGGCAAGAATCTGTGTTACACATTTTTCGATGATGTCTCATGTCCTTTGATGGAAAATAATGCCTTGCCATTCTCCAAAGAAAAGTCATGGTCTTTTCAGGAACTTTAGTCTTCCATATGGATGCCCAACACCTCTCTTCCATTGCACTATTGGAAGCAGTCCCTCTTTGACCTAGCAAATCATCCCTGATGTTTCTTAACTTAACCAGCAAGAGGTATGCAAAGCTGGCAGAGAATTCTCCTTTCTTTTCAAATCGCCATGCCCAAAAATCTGTCATCAGAGTAGTACAAAGTGGTACGTTCTTTATTGCTTGAACACCAGATGAAAGTAAAAATTGTTGCAACTTGTCATCTCTCCATGTTATCGAGCTACTGTCAATCAAGTCACTGACAAGAGTTGGAGGATTGCTAGCCAGACATGCTACTGACCTCCTCGCCGAGTCTCTCTAGTTGTCTACCCAAAATCGGGTATTTGCGCCACCCCAATGCGCCTTATGATTCCATGCGAGAACACGCCTCTTTCCTCCAAGATAGATCTCCATACTTGAGACAGGTGTGATCCCAGCTCGACATTTAGAATATCATTATTTGGGTAATAAACACACTTAAGAAGAGTCCAGTCCTGTAAGGAGGTGCCATGACTGTCGAGCTAACAAAGCTAGGTTGAGCAACTTAATGTCCCTGAAACCCAAACCTCCACACTTCTTTGGTTGAGTCATAGCTCTCCAAGAAACCTAGTGTGGTTTCGGTTGCCCTTCTTTGCCGCCCTAAAAAACTGGCAGATGAGTTTGTTCAACTTTTCACATAAACCTCTGAAGCATGACATTGAAAAAACTAGAACGTCATGTGCCACTGATTTAATAAGAATTTCTTTGCCTGTTGCTGAAATAATTTTCTCAACAACCCTTCACCTTAGACCACAACCCTCTGGTAGGTACTTCAAAGCACCCATCTTTGAAGAACCAATGTCAGATGGCATGCCCAAGTACTTCTCATCATGAGTCTCAGTATGAAAATTAACTACCCCTTTCACTTCTTATCTGATGTTGTCTAGTGTTCCCTTGCTGAAATAAACTGAAGACTTGTTTGTGTTGATCCTCTACTTCAAAGCTTGACAATAAGAGTCTAACAAGTTTGACACTTTCCTCGCCCTAGAACCATTTGCCTTGAAAAACTACAGGTTATCGTGAGCAAATAACAAGTGGTTAACTCATGGTGCTGAAGGAGCCACTTGAATCCCACTCAAATGCAACAAATGATCTCTTTTGAGGAGGCCATAAAGGCCCTCTGGTGCTAAGAGGAAAAGGTAGGGTGAAATTGGGTCTCCCTGCCAGATACCTCTCAAAGTATTGAAATCGTCAAGTTTCTTGCCATTGAATAGAATTGAGTATGAGACAGATTTGACCATATTCATGATAATTGAAACCCACCTCTTAGAAAAACCAAGCTTAAGCATGATAGCTCCAAGTATGTCCAGACCATTCTACTATATCATATGCTTTCATCGTGTCCAGCTTCAGCGCACAATGACGATGTTTTCGAGCTTTATTTTGTTTCATAAAATGCAAGCATTCATAAGCAATAATGATGTTGTCAGTAATAAGCCTCCCTGGAATGAAGGTAGACTGCTCTACGGAAATAATATATGAGAGGGTCTCTTTCAGCCGGTTAGCAATAACTTTAGATGTAATCTTGTATAGAACATTGCATAGGCTGATTGGTCAGAATTGGGTTAAAGAAGAGGGTTTTTTAAACCTTTGGGATCAAAACTAGACAAGCAGTATCGATGCACTCACATTCTCTATGCCTTCCACAATGCACAATACTTCATCTCCACATATCTCCCAATGCTTCTAAAAGAAGTGCGTCGGGTAGCCATCTGGAACCTGAGCTTTCATAGGAAACATTTGAAATGGGGATGCTTTTACATCAAGGGTGGTGTATGCGGCATTTAGATATGCGTTCATATATGTTGTCACTTAGGTGGCACCGCACCCAACACATCATGCATGTTGGTAACACCTTCTAACGTGTAGAGACTTTTGTAAAACATTGTTGCCATCTCCTCAAGCTTAGTTATGTTACTGATCACGTCACGATTAGCATTTTGCATGGATTTTATGGGGTTCTTCCTTCTCCTCATAGTATCTCTAACGTGGAAGTAGCGAGAAGTGTTTTTATCACCTATTTTTTATGGTTAAAAAGAAGGAAAAAGGGCCAGGCCCGGGACGGAGGGGTGTGACGGGCGGGCGAATTGGCTGTGCACGTCTACGTATAGCTCGTATATGCCACATATGGAGGTGGGTATACCTTATGGTCAAATGACAATAGTTCACTTATACGGTTTGTGCGGGGGGTGCACCGAAGCAAGGCTCTATAAACATAGCATGAAACAATAACAAATTATAGATACATTTGAGACGCATCAGAATTTTGATGCTAGGATCAAATTCCAAAGTTACAAGATAGCACCTACTTGGCTAATTTTTAAAGAGTACATAATATGTAGTGATGTACTTTGAACCAGACAATCATGCGAGGAATTGTCTAGTGATTGATAAGAGAAAGTAATTAGAGGATCAACCTTGAGCATAGAGTTACCCCCCTCCCCATGTATTGTACTAAATCTAAATACAATATACATATCTTTACTATATATTTATGTATTAACTGTAGATCTCAATGCATATCTCCATGGCCTGACAAGATCCAAAAGTTATATCGTGCTATATATCTAGCTATTACGAAATGTATATCTACAAGATACATTGACTATTGGTGAATTTATCATGTATATAGTATGTATATCCAGGAGGCATGTATTACTAGTATGTAGCTTTATCTGGTCTTAATTACATTTTTATACATTTATTATTTTCTCTCCTAAACTAATCCCTAAAATAAGAGATTTTGCTTGGTTAATTCATCCCATTATTATCATATCTTATAGAATCATTTTTATAGCATATTTAGTGGTAAAAAAAATGCAGTCAACATGTCTAGGTTCATTGTGTCATTAACTTTCATATATTTTTAGGAGGCATTTACTATTCGCTAAATAGATTAACTTTCCTATTCTCTTTACTACCAATTAGATCCTCAATATTCGTATATTTTGTTTTAATATAATTTATTAGGATAAGCACAAGCTTCATGCCATGATATCTATATAAAGCGAGTATTTGCTTGGACCAAACACAAACATACAACTGAACGCAGTATTGCATAGTGCTCTCTACTGCTCTTTGTGAATTTAGGCGATGGCAAATAATAGCATTCTCCAAGTCTTTGTTGTTTTTCTCATTGCGCAAGTCTGCTTGCTCATGATGATTGCAGCACAGGTAGCACAGGCAGCCGGCAGGCTTATGGGATACAACCCAGTTTGCTGCCCTAGGGACATCTATTGTTGTGGGCTCGGTGGCGTGATGGCCAATGGAACCGCATCCTCCATGAAGCCTTGATATGTGGTTTTTTCTCCTCCGATAAATAAGCTAGGACATATAAAATATGCTCCCATGTGTGGTTTGTTGTTCCACATATATATTTTGTGTTGCTAGTTTCCAGAAATGTTATTATATAAGCTATTTTTCTAATAAAGTGGGAGGAGATTATTACTTATGTTGTTTGCAATGTGCCACAAAGAGATTACAATTATGTCGAAATCAATGTTTTTAGAGGACCATATCATCCTATATTTTTATGGTTAAATCCATGTTATTGTCATAATTGCACTATTTGTTGTTGATTCCAATGTATTGCTAAACATATCAGTTAACCCATCAAATAAAGTATTAGTTTGTTGCAGAAATGGGTCAAATACCATATAATTCATTATTGTCACTACATTGTAGCATAATTGATGCAAAACCATGGAGATAATGTTATTCACACAAGGGGTTTTTTTTGGCAGTGCGACACTGATGTATGTGATGGTCGATGCCAAAGACTCCTCCATATGAGTCCTTCAATTTTACTCCATGTTGTGACCCTTGCTAATGAAATTCATACTCAACCGAGCTTGTAAAATAAACGAGAACTAATTGTCCATAAAAGAGAGATCAAGAGGTAAAGCTAATAGCTTAACTTTTTATGGTTTATCTTTTTTTTGGTAATTTCCAAATGTAATTTTCACCTTTTTTCCTACCCATTATTACTTTATCTCATTTTTGGTATTCCTCTCTATGCCTTAACAACCCGCTCATGCTTGTCCGACCGATCAGATTTAGACAAGGCATAGTGGAACTTTTTGTGTGGGCATTATGATAAAATAAGTGTCATGTCATCAAGGTTTACGAGTCGACAAGTCGACGAGTCGTTCCGAGGTAGAGACTAATAAACTAATCGAGACTAGTCTAGACTAGTGCTAGACTAGTCGACATGGTACTGTAGTACTCAGCTACTAATACCTAGTGGTAGTATGTAGTATATACTAACAGTACAGTATGCAATAAACCAGCCACTGTCTAAATCATTGAGCTATGCAGTGTTCTGGGCCCAAGTGGGTATGGAATAGGACCAGCCACTGTCTAAATACTAGCCCAGCACCACGCATCACCCCCCAGCTGGCCCATTTGGGCCCAAATGGCCAGCCTACTTAGCCCCCAGCCACTGGAACCCTAGCTCCCGACCTCTCCAATCGCCACCGCCAGCGCCATCACGCACGAGAGCACGCGCGCACGCGACCCGCGCCTCCTGCCGCCTTCCGCCAGTCCCGGCCGCTGCCGCCAGCGAGCCCGCCGACCACCGCCATGCCTCCTCCTTTCCTATCCTCTCTCTCTCTTCCTTCTCTCCCGTCTCAAGGCCGCGTGCCCCTACGGGTCACGGCCATGGCCGCCGCCTGAGCACGAGCTCCGGCCGGCCGCCGCACCTGGCTGCGCCATCGGCCGTCCCTGCGGTGGGTGGCGGCGGCGGTGGCAGGGCAGTGGGTGTTGGCGGCGCCTCGTCCCAGCTGAGGCAGCTCTCTTTTTTTAGTCGCTCGACTCATATATGTCGACTAGTCCAGACTAGTCGTCGACTAGTCCATCCACGGCTCGACTCATATTTGTAGTCTACACGAGAAAATGAGTCGACATCCACTCTGCGACTCGTAGACTAGTCGAGCGACTAGTCTAGACTAGTCGTTCGACTCGTAATCATTGCATGTCATGCAAGACAATTGTGGTTTGGATAGAATCAAAGGAACAATTATATAAGTTTATTTAAAGACATGATCATACAAAAAAATCTGTGATATTTTCAATTATATTAAAAATATTTATATAATTTTACAATTACAAAAAATAAAGAGACATGTTATCCAATTCCGGTTTTTTGCTAACATGAGAGTATTAAAGTGGATTTGAAAGAAAAAAAAGCTTCTAACTTCAAGGTCCAACTATTCTGGACCAAACTAAGAATGCATTTCAAAGAAAATCCATGAAGGATTGTTGTTGATCCAAGAGGCGAGGCTTTACTTTGCTTTGATCAATATATTACAATCTTGAGGGGCCCGAAGAGGTTTGCTTCCATCTTTGCAAATGAATAGGGAAGTTTCTAAGGATTTATGTCAATTTTTTTTTTGCATTTACCCATGTCAATATCCTTGGAGATCAAATCAATTGTAAGAAGCACCTCATAAAAAAGGAGATCCTCTTCTTTTGTGAGGAACCAAAGAATGCTAGCATTGCGTAGCAAAAGGGCATTCCCAAAAGAGGTGAAGCGGAGTTTCTTCAATTTGGTCAGAACAGATAGAATATTTGTAAGATCTCATTTGAATGTTCTTCATGTGAGGTAGGTTCCTTGTGTTGAGCTAGTGTGCAGGATGAGCCAAAAGAAAATCTTGTGTTGGAGCACAGATGAAGTTTTCCAGAGCAATTTAAAAATTATATGAGTAGAATCGGACCCCTTGTTACTTCGTACATCTGAATAGCAGAGCAATCTACATATTTCTAAGGGAAAACCCATTTATCTTGTTTCATTAGAGAGATCTAGAGCAATTTAAAAATGATATGAGCAGAATTATGGCCCCTTAAAACTTCGTACATTTGAATAGCAGAGCAATCAACATATTTCTCAGGGCAAACCCGTTTATGTTTTTAATTATCATTAGTGAGACTGATTTATGTCATTTTCAAGCATCCGCGGCTACTAAAAAGCTTGAAATGGGAGTGGCCAATGAAGTGATTTTGTGATTGGGTGATGCCATGAAATTCTGGAAGGTGATGTTGCTTTTGCCAGATGAGTAAAGTTTAATGTATTTATCTTTGACGGAGTGATCTTGCCATGAATTTTCCCAGAGGTCGAACGTGTTACCCTATCCAATAGTACAAGTGCCATACCTTTTCTTGTTTGGAATAAGGTTAATCGGAGATTTTCACTAGAATGATCCAACAAGTTTGTCAGGTGTGGGGAATCAATATAATATGATTCCCAAATGAGGTTGACCCAATGTAACTCATATATCTATTAAAGAATTTGTAAAGGTGCTTGATCACAACAATTTTGCTCTGAAGTGTAATGTGAGGAACTGCAAGACCACCTTGACCTTGTAGGCTGCACACTTTGTCCCAAGAGAAGAGAGTTGTCCCTCAATCCTCCATGTCATATTTTCTTCAAAAGCAGTGCCTTAAGTACTCCCTCCGTTTTTTTTTAATTTGCATATAAAATTGAGTCAAAGTCAAACTTTGTAATGTTTGACTAACTTTATAGGAAAAATATCAATATTCACCATATGAAATCAATATTATTAGATGCATCACGAAATTAACTTCCATACCATATAACTTTGGTATTGTAGATGTTGATATTTTTTAATATAAATTTGGTCAAACTTTGTTTAGTTTTACTTTGATCAAATTTTATATGCAAAGTAAAAAAGAAACTGAGGGAGTATTTATTAATCTTCTAAGAAACTGAAAGTGGTAGGGACAGAGGGCACATGAAGAAAATGGGTAAACTGCATAGCACTGGTTTCACAAGCTATAATTTCACCCCAGATGATAAGAAGGTTGATCATCCAGTAAATCTTTATGGGGTGAAATTAGCCAAGAGGGACAGGGACAAATTCTTATGTCTTTGGCTTTACAATGTTGAGTGGGGAAGTCCTAGATACCAGTAAAAGGGAAGGAGCCCAACATACATCCAAAAGATTGAGCAAGGGTTTGCATTCCGTGATCAAAGTCATTAATTGTTGTGTGGATTAAAGACATTAATTCGCACCACAATAGACTTGTTAAAGTTCACTTTCAAACCAGTGTAGGATGCAAGATGGAGGAGTGGGTTCTTTATGTGCTGCCATTGTCTTTCCATGCATGAAGGATCATGACAGTGTTGTCTGCATAGCGGATGATAGGGAAATCGAGTCATGAAGTGATATTGAGAGGAGGCTGAATCAACTGGTTTTGCATAGCTTCATTGAAAATGGTTTTATAAGTTGAGAAGGTGTATTCAAGTGGTATTCTAAACTTTAAACTTAACCCATACTGCAAAATGGCAATGCATAATTTATTTCTTTTAATAATACCAGAGACCGTTTTCTTTTCTGTATGCTATGAATTACTCTACATCAGCCCGAGGTCTAAATCAAATATTATATATACAACCTCACTCGTATATACAGACTTATATACATGTCCGAAATACGGAATCAATGATGAGTCTATGCCATCTTGCAATGTATATGCAGCATAATCAAATTAGAGAACTGGTATGTATGTGCGTGACCGAGATGCATATGATTTCACATGTATCTTCGTAGGTAGTCGACCCGGGTGGGGTGCTTGAGCTTCATGAGCGCCTTGAGCTCGTACTTGCGCACCATCTCCCTCGAGATCCTCAGGTTGCCGGCGATCTCGCTCAGCGTGCGCCTCCCTCTGCCGTCCAGCCCGAACCTCTGCCTGATCACCACGCTCTCCTTGGGCTTCAGCGAATCCAGCTGCACCATCCATCACATGATCATCAATCAACATTCAGAAAGCAAACACATGAATCAACTGATGATGTTGTTTATGATTACGAGGTCGTCAATGGCGAGGCGGAGGAGCCGGTTGTGCTTGTGGGTGTCGACCCCGATGGCGTCCACGTCGGTGACCTCTTTGATGAGCTCCTCCTGCGTGACACGGTTCCGCGAGTGGAGCGAGTAGGTCGGCCTCGTCATCCGCACCACGTCGCGGTACCTCGCCGGCGACAGCCCCACTTTCTTCATCGTCTCCTCGTCCGTCGGCGTCCTCCCGAGCTCGAACGACAGCTCCTCCCTCGCCCTGTTGATCTCCTGTCTCTCCTGCACGATAAAATTAATACAAACATTTCAGCATTTCCATCTCTGACAAACACGGACAGAATGTGCAAAACACTGAAGACTGAACCGACTGGGCATGCAAGCTCGGCAGGCATTACCGATTCCATGGCGAATGGGAAGCGGGTGAAGCTGGAGAGCGTCATGGCGCGGACGACGGAGTGGCGGATCCAGAAGAGCGCGTAGGTGGAGATGCGGAAGCCGCGCTTGGGCTCGAAGCGGTCGATGGCCGTGATGAGCCCGTTGGCGCCGGCCTGGCACAGGTCGGCGAACCTCTCGTCGCCGGTCATGTCCGGGTAGTACTTGTTGATCGCGTACAGGACCAGCCGTAGGTTGTGCTGCAACCACCCAACCCAAATTTCAGTTGGATTCCATCTTTTTTCCAGACCACTGGTGCAGCAGAGTACAGAGTGATCAGTGGCAGTGTTGTTGTTTACCTTGATGAGCTTGTTCCTCGCCGCCCGGCCGACGTCGCGGAGCCGCCGTAGCCGCTGCACCGGCATGTTCATGGCCTCGGCGACCTCTGCGTCGGTCGGCTCGCTCTGCAGCTCGTTCCGCAGGTTCTCTTGCACCTCCAAAATGGCCTGAAATGTGTGTCAGTTATTCAGTTTAGCACCTAAATTCAGCTAGCGAGTTCTTGGATCAGCTACCGATTGTTCCTCCTCAATGGAATCAAGATTCAATAAGAGTTAAATTGATCGGTGGTTGATTACCTTCATGGGTTGCATGATCTTGAAGAGGCGAGCGCTCTGCGCGGCGGAGAGCACCGGCGGGATCTTCATCCGCCTCCAGTCGAGGCTGCCCATGTCGGTCGACACGGCGTGCTCCCGCAGCAGCGCCTCCTCGAACTCCCGCTCCTCGTCCCGGTGTTCGCCCTCCTTGCCGGCGGCCAGATCGCGCATCTCCACCCTCTTCCCCAGGTCCATCCGCCGGCGCCGCTGGCTCCTGACCACCACTGTCCTCCTGGGCGTCGCCGTCGTCGTTGTCGCTGCTGATTTCTTCATCCCCTGCTTCCTCTTCTTCTTGGTGGCCGCCTGCTTCTTGCTCCTCTTCTCGTCCTCCTCCACGATGACGGGGCTCAGCTTGTACAGCGTCTCCAGCGTGGCGGCCACCTCGTCGTAGTCCGTGCCCTCGGGCACCGGCACCGGCGCGGGCGAAGGTTGGATCTTAGCGGTGGCCGTGCTCTGCTTCTCGGGCGCCGCGAGCGCCGCGCAGCTGGTGGCGGCGGCAGGCGCCCGGCGCCGCGGCGGCTTGCTACCGCCGGCGATGGCGAGCACGGTGGGCCGGTACCGGCGGCGCTGGGGCCCCGCCGGGAGCGGGCGGCTGGGCGTGGGCGTGGTCACCGTGGACGTCATGGATCGTGTGGAACAGTCCAGAATCTCTCGGCTCAGTTCGATCGTGTGGAAGCAATGCGATGCGGTGCTCTGCTCTGCTCTGCTGCCGGCCGTCCCCTTCCATATATGCCGGGGCGGGACACGTACGTCGGCGGTTGGCCGAGCAACGGCGGCCACGAGCCGGCGCGGGGCGATCGGACGTGCGGGAGGCGGCGAGGCCCGAGGATCGGACGGCGCGCGGGGCGGCGGCGTGGAGCCGGGCGCGCGCGGGAGGGGGTGCGTGGATGAGGCGCGCGCCACGTGAGCGGTCGCCATACGCCTCGCGATATCTCCGGGGACCCACATGGCAGTGCGACGTGGAGTAGTGCTAGTGCTACGTCGAAATGTTTGGCAACTCTTTTCGGTTGCCACGGGAAATCTCTTCTGCTGCCATGAAAATACGTCGAAATCTGAGTGCCACAAGCCTGTCCTTGACTGCTGCATCCTGGTCGTCGACTTCAACTTGCCCAAGTTCACCTTGAAAAAAAGTCGATTGTCCAAGTGTTGTACAAATGCAATATAAGAGCAAGTCCAATAGAGCCTTCAAACCCTCAAATCCTTAAAAATAACTGATTTTTTACAGTTTTCGTCGAAAAAAAGCCATAGACTAAAACCTCTAAACCCTCAAACCCGTAAAACAATTTAGAGGTCCAACCCTCAAATTGTTTCCCAACCTGTAGAAGTGAGGGTTGAGAGGAAAAACTCCCCCCAACCCGCACTCCTCTTTCTTTTCGCGCGGGAGGGAAGTTTCATCCTGCCTCCCCGGCTCCTGTTGGAAATATGCCCTAGAGGCAATAATAAATTGGTTATTATTATATTTTCTTGTTCATGATAATCGTTTATTATCCATACTAGAATTGTATTGATAGGAAACTCAGATACATGTGTGGATACATAGACAACACCATGTCCCTAGTAAGCCTCTAGTTGATTGGCTCGTTGATCAATAGATGGTTACGGTTTCCTGACCATGGACATTGGATGTCGTTGATAACGGGATCACATCATTAGGAGAATGATGTGATGGACAAGACCCAATCCTAAGCCTAGCACAAAGATCGTGTAGTTCGTATGCTAAAGCTTTTCTAATGTCAAGTATCATTTCCTTAGACCATGAGATTGTGCAACTCCCGGATACTGTAGGAATACTTTGGGTGTGCCAAACGTCACAACGTAACTGGGTGGCTATAAAGGTACACTACAGGTATCTCCGAAAGTGTTTGTTGGGTTGGCACGAATCGAGACTGGGATTTGTCACTCCGTGTAAACGGAGAGGTATCTCTGGGCCCACTCGGTAGGACATCATCATAATATGCACAATGTGACCAAGGTGTTGATCACGGGATGATGTGTTACGGAACGAGTAAAGAGACTTGCCGGTAACGAGATTGAACAAGGTATCGGGATACCGACGATCGAATCTCGGGCAAGTATCGTACCACTAGACAAAGGGAATTGTATACGGGATTGATTGAATCCTCGACATCGTGGTTCATCCAATGAGATCATCGTGGAACATGTGGGAGCCAACATGGGTATCCAGATCCCGCTGTTGGTTATTGGCCGGAGAGTTTTCTCGGCCATGTCTGCATGACTCCCGAACCCGTAGGGTCTACACACTTAAGGTTCGATGATGCTAGGGTTATAGGGAATAGATATACGTGGTTACCGAATGTTGTTCGGAGTCCCGGATGAGATCCCGGACGTCACGAGGAGTTTCGTAATGGTCCGGAGGTAAAGATTAATATATAGGAAGTATGGTTTTGGCCACCGGAAATGTTCCGGACATCACCGGTAGTGTACCGGGACCACCGGAGGGGTCCGGGGGTCCACCAGGTGGGGCCACCAGCCCCGGAGGCCTACATGGGCCAATAATGGGAAGGGACCAGCCCCTAAGTGGGCTGGGGCGCCTCCCCACCAAGGCCCATGCGCCTAAGGGGAAGAGCGGGCAAACCCTAAGGGAGATGGGCCTGGTGCGCCTCCCTCTCCCCCTCCACTTGGCCGCCACCCTAGATGGGATTGGGGCTGGCCGCCGCCCCTAGGGTGGAACCCTAGGTGGGGTGCACCCCTTCCTCTCCCCTATATATACTTGAGGACTTGGGGCTGCCAACAGATGAGTTCCTCTCTTTCTTGGCGCAGCCCTACCCCTCTCCCTCCTCGTCTCTTGCGGTGCTTGGCGAAGCCCTGCTGGAGTACCACGCTCCTCCACCACCACCACGCCGTCGTACTGCTGCTGGATGGAGTCTTCCCCAACCTCTCCTTCTCCCCTTGCTGGATCAAGGCGTAGGAGACGTCACCGGGCTATACGTGTGTTGAACACAGAGGTGCCGTCCGTTCGGCACTAGGATCATCGGTGATTTGGATCACGACGAGTACGACTCCATCAACCCCGTTCACTTGAACGCTTCCGCATAGCGATCTACAAGGGTATGTAGATGCACTCTCCTTCCCTCGTTGGTAGACTTCTCCATAGATTGATCTTGGTGATGCGTAGAAAATTTTGAATTTCTGCTACGTTCCCCAACAGTGGCATCATGAGCTAGGTCTATGCGTAGTTTCTATGCACGAGTAGAACACAAAGTAGTTGTGGGCGTTGATTTTGTTCAATATGCTTACCGTTACTAGTCCAATATTGATTCGGTGGCATTGTGGGATGAAGCGGCCCGGACCGACCTTACACGTACTCTTACGTGAGACTGGTTCCACCGACTGACATGCACTAGTTGCATAAGGTGGCTAGCGGGTGTCTGTCTCTCCCACTTTAGTCGGATCGGATTCAATGAAAAGGGTCCTTATGAAGGGTAAATAGCAATTGGCATATCACGTTGTGGTTTTGCGTAGGTAAGAAACGTTCTTGCTAGAAACCCATAGCAGTCACGTAAAACATGCAAACAACAATTAGAGGAGGTCTAACTTATTTTTGCAGGGTATGCTATGTGATGTGATATGGCCAAGAAGAATGTGATGAATGATATGTGATGTATAAGATTGATCATGTTCTTGTAATAGGAATCACGACTTGCATGTCGATGAGTATGACAACCGGCAGGAGCCATAGGAGTTGTCTATATTTATTGTATGACCTGCGTGTCATTGAACAACGCCATGTAATTACTTTACTTTATTGCTAACCGGTAGACATAGTAGTAGAAGTAATAAGTTGGCGAGAAAACTTCATGGAGACACAATGATGGAGATCATGGTGTCATGCCGGTGACGATGATGATCATGGAGCCCCGAAGATGGAGATCAAAAGGAGCAATATGATATTGGCCATATCATGTCACTATTTGATTGCATGTGATGTTTATCATGTTTATACATCTTATTTGCTTAGAACGATGGTAGCTTAAATAAGATGATCCCTCACTAAAATTTCAAGAGAAGTGTTCTCCCTAACTGTGCACCGTTGCGAAAGTTCGTCGTTTCGAAGCACCACGTGATGATCGGGTGTGATAGATTCTTACGTTCGAATACAACGGGTGTTGACGAGCCTAGCATGTACAGACATGGCCTTGGAACACATGTGAAACACTTAGGTTAACTTGACGAGCCTAGCATGTACAGACATGGCCTCGGAACACGGAGGACCGAAAGGTCGAACATGATTCGTATAGAAGATGCGATCAACATGAGATGTTCACCGATGATGACTAGTCCGTCTCACGTGATGATCGGACACGGCCTAGTTGATTCGGATCATGTATCACTTAGATGACTAGAGGGATGTCTATCTGAATGGGAGTTCATAAGATGAACTTAATTATCCTGAACATAGTCAAAAGGTCTTCGCAAATTATGTCGTAGCTCGTGCTTTAGTTCTACTGTTTAGATATGTTCCTAGAGAAAAATTAGTTGAAAGTTGATAGTAGCATTTATGCAGACAGTAGAAGGCTTATGTCCTTAATGCACCGCTCAGTATGCTGAACCTCGAACGTCGTCTGTGGATGTTGCGAACATCTGACATACACGTTTTGATGACTACATGATAGTTCAGTGCGTAATGCTAAATGGTTTAGAATTGAGGCACCAAAGACGTTTTTGAAACATCGCAGAACATATGAGATATTCCAAGGACTGAAATTGGGATTTCAGGCTCGTGCCCACGTCAAGAGGTATAAGACCTCCGACGATTTTCTTAGCCTGCATAATAAGGGAGAAAAGCTCAATCTTGAGCTTCTGCTCAGATTGTCTGAGTACAACAATCGCTTGAATCGAGTGGGAGTTGATCTTCCAGATGAAATAGTGATGGTTCTCCAAAGTCACTGCCACCAAGCTACTAGAGCTTCGTGATGAACTATAACATATCAGGGATAGATATGATCCTTGAGCTATTCGCGACACCGCGAAAGTGGAAATCAAAAGGGATCATCAATCATTGATGGTTAGTAAAACCACTAGTTTCAAGAAGGGCAAGGGCAAGAAAGGGATACTTCATGGAACAACAAATCAGTTGCTGTTCTAGTGAAGAAACCCAAAGTTGAACCCAAGCCCGAGACTAAGTGCTTCTGTAATAAGGGGAACAGTCGCTGAAGCAGAACCACCCTAGATACTTGGTAGATGAGAAGGCTGGCAAGGTCGACAGAAGTATATTGGATATGCATTATAATGTGTACTTTACTAGTACTCCTAGTAGCACCAGGGTATTAGATACCGGTTCGGTTGCTAAGTGTTAGTAACTCGAAACAAAAGGCTACGGAATAAACGGAGACTAGCTAAAAGGTGAGATGACGATATGTGTTGGAAGTATTTCCAAGGTTGATCAAATATCGTATGCTCCCTCTACCATAGAGATTGGTATTAAAACCTAAATAATTGTTATTTGGTGTTTGCGTTGAGCATAGACATGATTGGATTATGTCTATCGCGATATGGTTATTCATTTAAGGAGAATAATGGTTACTCTGTTTATTTGAATAATACCATCCCGATCGTAGTAATACACATTTTCATGCCAAAGGTATAAGATAGTAATGATAGTA